GCCGCTGAGATTTTTGGCAGCGGCGATGCGGTTCCGATTGCCGCCAGGCAGCACAATACTCCCAACGCTATCACCAACTTCATTTTTCTGGAAAACGAAAAGTACATTTTTTATTAATTCCTTCCATTACAAATTTGTTTACGTTTTTTAAAATAATTCTTATATTCTTAAATGATCTTTAATTTGATTATTCGTAAATAATAATTAGTAAAGTATTATCAAAACAAGATAGTTTTTATTCTTCGAATTTTCTGTTAGTTTGAAGATTGTTTCTAACAAAATGTTTAATTTATATTTTCTCTTTTTTCGAAGTTCTATTTGTGTAGAAACAAGAACCTTTGTGTGGAGACAATGAGAAGGAAATATTTCACTTATTCCTGGATACGGTGGGGAAATAAAAGAATCCTGCCAGCACGTAGGAAATTTTTTAAGTTTCCATCTGTTCGATATTGTGGAAAACGGGGTCACGTTCAAATTGCAAATTACTGTTGCTTGATAAACCGCGTTCTAGATATTCGAATGCATTTATTCCACTTATTTCATACTCTATTCTGCTTCGACCTTAACTTCTTCTATAAAAAGATCTAAATAAAAGTATAATGATTATATGAATCTATTAACTTAGTTAACTAAGAACTAAATTCCTAATTATATTTTCAAGTCTGAAGAAAATAATATTTTTTACAGAAAACTAATTGAGGAAAGTAATTAAGAAGAAAATATCAGATTAATCGATTAATGAAAGTAGAGATTTTACAATAGATTACTGTCGTTACAATTCTATTTATCCTCATAAGAATGCAAGCATCGTTGCATAATATATGAAGATATCGTTAACTGAATTACGAGAATAAAGGAAGAACGTAACCACGAGAAACATAATTTTCCCAGGACCAACAAAGAGTTTCATTTGACACTGGAATTATTCTGACCTTCGACTGGCGACATCAGGATTCCCATGCAGTCGTATTCTCACGGCTAACGGTAGGCAAATAAACGTTACTTGGCCATCGTTCAAAGAAACGCATTCTATTATCTTTTTCCAGGAATAGAGAAATCAAAAGGATAAGGGAAGAAACCAGGAAATTCACGACTAATTCTCTTAGTGTGAAAATGAAGAAAGTAAATAGGGAAACAAAAGAAATAAAAATACAAACGCATTGATCTTTCTTCGAGGATAAAGAAAGAGAGGAGAAAAATAATAAGAAACGAAGTGCCCATATACGTATAATGTAATTCGATGTTCCATTATCTTTCCCCAAAAAGAAGTGAGAGAAAAGAGGAACATGAAATTCACGAGAAATTCATCATTAAAAAGTGCATCCATTTGTTTCAAACAGAAAGAAACAAAAAGAGGAAAACTGAAAGAACGAAGACCACCAAAAATTCGCTTACTATTTATGTACGAGATAGATATGCAGTATTTAGCTTTTATTAGAAGTTTATACGAATGTTCTAGTTATTATTTATAGCTATTTTAGTTATTCACGATTGCAGATAGTGGAGTTCCCTATTACATTAATCCGTAAGAAGTATCGTTTCTTTACATTAGATATCTTGGGTGCAAATAAGCTGTCGATATCAATCTTCATTTTGTATAATTGTTGTCATTGTTCTACTAACTTTATCAATACATATTTTAGAGAAATCCCTATCATAATGAATCTCATTCAAGAATTCAAAGAAAATTCCCCATCCAAAAAAAAGTCCAGAGGAACCATGCATTGCCTATTAGATAATAATCTAATACTGAACCAAACTCCTGTTATATGTACTTCCAAAATCCAAGTAACTTCCTCATCTTCGTCCCTAAATCGCGTTAGCGCAATGGATCGTATTCAAGCTTTGGTTGACAAAATGTGAGAAATATAATAAATAAGCTATGGGTGTTTACGCGTTTAAGAACATTAATCTGTAAAAATGTACAGAATGCACATAGTGTGCAAAAATATTGCGAAAAGTGAAGTTATCATAAGATTTAGACGTTGAAACGGATCTTTGTTTAAGTTCCACTTGCTTAGTTAGATCCAGAAAAATACAAATTTCGATAAAAATCCGTAGCTGAACAGTAGAAGGTCCCCTATGCGATAACAACTAATATCGGTTCGCAAACTATCACAACGAGTTACCGAGGTTACCACATGACAAGAGCTAAGCCACTATCGTTGCACACAGCATCACTGCTAAGATTCTCTCGAAACATATTGGTAGAGTCTTCGATCCGTGACATTATACGTATACATCCACCGATGGAACCGAATCCGTTTCGATCGTCGAAAGAGGGTAACTGCGCCACGTTTGCCCACTTGCTCCACGAATTTCCACGAACGTCCACGAATCGAAGAAGAGGGTTGAAGATTAGAACTCCGATAAGGGAGGTTCGTTAAGCTGACTTCCTTCGACTCACCTCACTTCCCGCTTCTTTTTTCGTTGTTCGACGAAGGATAATGGTTCCCGTTCAAGTGAAGCGTATGTGTCCAGGTCGTTCAACGACACGAGTTCTCCGTGATATCCACCGAGCGACCCGGTGAGAGTGTTAAAACAGACGAGGCGGCTCGCAACGACCCTTTTATACCGGGCTCACCTCTCCACCTCCTTCGTTCTCGTTCGCCGTCCTCTTTCCTTGGCGACGACATGGTGTGTATTACACCTTCTTCGTGTGTTCTCTCCACGTGGCTCTCGTTGCGTTTTCTCCCTTTCTTGAGAACGTGCATTGTGCCGTTGAGTAAAAGGATCGGGCCGAGGCGTGCACCGACTTTACTACGCTGCGAAAACATCCAGAACATTTCCCATCCAATGAATACCCGGAGCTGCAAGGCTATTTTCCTTAGATTTCGTTTGAATCGTCGCTCCTCGATAAATCATTTTCGTTGCAATCGAAGGGCTGGGTGGACTGGTTTTCCTCTTGTTTCCGTTAGTTTCTAGAAAAGTTTAGTGTCAATGTTTATTGAGAGAGATTCCCGTAAATTTTGTATAATAAAATGATCCAGAAGGTTTATTTGGGCAAGATTGGATTGGATTAGAATTTTGAAATGATTGGAATTTATAATATGATATTGAATTTATAATGCAGTAGGATGATCGTGGAAGATCTCTTTAACCCTTGAAAGACTAGTGAGAGAATACGTTCCAAAGTAGTTTTTGGGAAGGCTATTACAATTTGCTATAATGACATAAAGTGGTCATTATGCTGTTATAATTTTTCTGACACCAATGCGACCTATTGGAACACAGGATCGATAGTATTAAAAAAAGAAAAATCTGCCTTGATGTTCATTGATAAAAAGAATCTGCCTTAAAACAGTTGAGTTATTTCTTCTCAGGATCTAAGCAATTTGATAAGTTGAGGAGAAAGATTCGGTTTTGTAAAATTAACGACCAATATAATTTATTGCTTCTGTAACATAAATTAAATCTTAACGTTGTACGATTAAATTTAATTTAAATTATAAATTTAAATTCTAGGTACAATCAATTACTCCCTGTCGGTAATTAATCACTTTTATCACAAACGAGGTGCAACCTCGTCTGTGCTTTTATCGAGCTTCTTGGATGCTGTGATCCATTTATACTTTTACCATTCTCGGACGATTTAATTGCCAAGCAAAGCACAGGATTTCTTGGATATTAATAACAGTATGAAGGCTAACTCGCAATTTACACAGACGTATAAAATTGCAAAGTTACGTTGATGACTGATTCGGAATTATTTTCATCCTTAAAAATTCCAAGTCGTTCACTTTACAGTATTTAATAAATCTCTGCAGTGTATCGTTGCACTTCTATCAAATTCGATAAACGACAATAAATTACAAAATGACAAATTATAAAATTAATTTGACTAGTTGAAAGAGTTTCAGATTAAGGAACAAACAAAACCAATCGATCCAACAAAATCAATCATTGTAGTATCTTTATAACTTTTCTTTTTTAGCTAATCCATCATCGAAGTTACGAGCGCCACAAAAAAATTCAGCTTCAATGGACCTAAAATTTTTTCATTCAGCATTCAACCGTCATATTTAGTGAAAGTATTTCTCTCGTTTGCTATTCTCAGCTTCCACTTCTCACCTTCTACGTATATAGGCTGTCTCAAAGAAAGAGTCGAAGACTTTAAAAGTACAAAAATTAGTGAAAAATTTACTAATTTATTATTTAATTGTCTAAACGCTATTGTCTCCCTATCAGTTCGGAGATGGAAGATTCTACCATAATAAATATTTTATAATATAAAAATCTGCTGTCTAATAATTACTGGATTTTTATATTTTTCAATCTCATATTCTTACGTACAGAACTAAAGAAGTGGAACTTACATAAAAATTTGTTTCATCCATCAAAAATTATAAAGAGTATCCTACTATGAATGTTTTATGTATATATTTTTATAATGCAATCTGTGGATTTCGTTATCACTAAATTTATCATAAAAGCATAAATACCTGCAGTCTAGAAATTACTACATATAAATTCTTAAGCTTTCAGATGTCCAACTTTTAACTCTCTCTAACACTTTCTTCCATTTTCTCCGTCTCCGTCTCCGTCACCGTTTTCTCAGGGTGTTTCCAATTTTCGAAAGAAGCGGTAACGATAGATTAAATCGAAAGTATAGAATGGCATGCGAATGGTGCGGATATTAGACGAACGAAAAATCCGGAATTCCACTCGAGGACGGGTTGGTCATCGGAGCGATCGTATAACTGTAAATACTAGACAGTTTCCTCTTTCAGTCTAACCACTGATAGATCATACTCCTAGCATTCGTTTAGAATCGAACGCTTCAAGCGATTCGACATTTTTGTCAGACATATTCCACTTTGCTCATCTCATCGCTTTACTAGTTTTTCAAGAAACCACTTCTAAATAAGTTCCAGTACTCAATAGACTGGTCGCAAGTTTTATCTAAATCGTTACAATATGATATGAAGATATTTCATTTTTTATACAGTTTAGGCAAACATCCAGAATGTTTTATGTGACTTCATTAAACGAGATACGAATGTATTGTGTATTATACGTTACGTTTGTTCATTTTAGAAGTGGAAGTGTTCTGAAAATTTAGATAAATAAATATTAAATAAGGAAATATGTAACGATAATGAAGAAAGTACTTCTCTGGTACTTCTCTGTAAATATTCATGAATATCTTAGTCCAATTATACTACTTATGCAGTGTGCCAGGATCAGTCCAAATACGTTACACCATCCATATTAAAGTTAACTCAACTGCACGATTATCTACACAAATTAGCGAGTAACGAAAGGCAATTAAGACATAAAGTATCATAAACGATACAATTCTGCTAGACGACTTAGTATTAGATGTAATACTAATATCAGCAGAAAATATCGGATAAAAAAACCTAAGGAACAATAGAAAATATTACGAAATCTAAAATGAAGTAGCTTTATGATCTTAATAATTACCTTCGCCCCATAAATGTTTGCGGAAATTAACAGGATCGCACAATCGGTCAAACTTTCAGGTACAAAAATTCCAACAGCAAAATAAAGCAGTACAAATAGCAGATAGAAAATAAAAGAAACTCCAAACCAAAGTAAGACCTCAACTGCTCGTAAAAATATCCATAATAAATCGTCTTACGCTTTACGGTTTTAGGAGCCACATCTGCTCTATAAACATTTCTAGAAACCAACGAAATCAAATCACTCCTGCAATCTGCAATCTGCAAAATCATTCAAACTTTCAACTACATAGCTCCAACAATAAGATATAAAGGAACTCAAAGAATAAAAAAAGAAAAGAAATACGGAAAATATCCTATATAAAGTATTTTAGGCATTACGTTCTTACCGTTAGTAACTAAGTCTCCCCTGGAAATATTTTGTAAAGCCAGCGAAACCATATTATCCGTGCAGTCCGCAAAGTCATTGAAACTTTCAACAGCTCGGACGACTTCTGAATTACCCTAAATCATTGTTTGATCCGATCGATCAGAGATTATCATAGAATCGCCGGTGTTCAAGTTCCCTGCTGGTTGTCGTGCTAGTTTTTAAGGATCACCGTGTCCGTCTCGACTCTCCATTCGGCCGGAATATGGGATTTGGTGTCACACAACGCGGCAAGGAAGTAGTCCGCGGCTTCGTGAATTAGTAATCAGGATGTGTGTCTGCGACTGACGAACACATTTTCGTGTATACAGTATAGCCACAGGTGTCTGTTCGAGCGAGCTGAAACGAAAGAATGAGAGAGTGTGAGAGAAATGAGACGATCGGTTGATCGAAGAGGGGTGCGATGTGAGGGGGATAAAGGGGGAAAGGAGAACGGAAAGAAGGAGAGAGAGAGAGAGAGAGAGAGGAGGGAGGAGGAATTGATACGAGAAAGACGATGACAAGATGAAAAATTGAAAGAGAAAGTAAAAAGGAGAAACAGAGAGAGAGAGAGCAGATAGTGCTGTGGTCCTCGTAAAATAGAGACACGTAGAAAGATCAAGATTTAGAAAGAAAAGCAGAGATGAGAGAAGTTATGAGAATTTGGTTAATTAGTAGAAAATTCATGGCTGTTCATTTATGTTAAATATAAATGAAGGGCTTTCTAAAAAACTATATTGCGAGTTATTATTTAATTTGCCAATAGCATTGTTATTATATAAAATGTTGGAATAATGTACTAGAGATTTCACAATAATGTATCGAAAATAAGACATCCGAATGTAGTATACGTGTAACTAGAGCAATCAACAAATCTCTTTAAAATAAAACTATGTACTTGAGGTTAGAATTGATAAATGATTAATATCCATATCTTCTATCTATTGCTACTGTACCATTGCCCATTTAAGCTATTGAAATCTTATTTTTAGGGATACACAGTTACAAGATGAATTTCCTGAAAAAGAGATTCATAGGTATATGGAAAAATGTTAAATTTTAATAATTTAAATAAATAAAGCTCTTTAAGAGCCACTGCAATTATCAACTGATTGAACAGCTGATACTAAAAAGTTAAAACTAAACTAATGCAACTTTCTCGGTTTCTCATTAATAGTTAACGTACATGAACTGCCATGAATCATATATATAACTAATAAATATAATCATAAAAGGGGTATGCGATAAAATAAGAAATAAATTTTAGAATTTGTATGCCAGAGATATATGTACACAGAGAGAGGAGAAATACAGAAAGAAAGAAGTATGACGAAGAAAGCTAATACTGAAGAAGGTGTAAAAGCAGAGAAAAAGAAGGGGGAGACGGTAAAAACCAATATGCGTGAATCGTTTCACGATATAAGGTTCACACTGGCATTCTTCTCTGTGTCATTCGCCCCGGAATTGTAATTCATTATTCATCGAATGAGCGAGGACGTACGCTGTCCCCGAATTGCTTCGCCAAAAATTCAAGTTCATACTCTACACACGATTTCAGAAGTATACTGTTGATGTTATATAGAAATATACATATGTACATACGTGTATTATGACCATTAACTCTAATTATGTATATAATTCTAGGCAAAGATTACTATGGATTTATGCAGGATATCTAACCCTAAAAGTGTAAAACTAT